TGCTTCAACTGGGATTTCATCTATTGGTGCTGTTCAGAAAAGGAAGAAAAACCAACCAAAAAACCAACCAAATAAAAACACAAACCCCACAAAAACAATGCAATAAGAAACCAGATATGTTGCTCTTAAACTGTTTGAAAAAACACAAAGACCCTTCCACTTATTTTGACCTTCAGTCACAACTACTGATTTCTGCTTAGCATAACTCATGATCCCACAACCAAATGAAATCCTTAGAAATCAAGGCATTTTACTGTTTTCATAAACTTCAATTAATCTGATTTTCAGCTGTGAAAACTGCAGCTACCGATTCAATTTCCATTTGGTTTCATCATGAATTCCTGCATGTTTTTTTTGTGTCCTAAAGAAGCAAAAAAATAAAGCTGCTATGCTTGCAGATAAATTCAAGCCACTGCTGATAAACTAAGGATAGTTTTAGGTATTTGTCAAACAATTCAGTTGTATACTGCTTTAATACTTGCACATAAAATGCTAGACAAGTACCCTCAAAAGAAATAAAGTTTTCATTATTCTATCTCTTAGCATTATTTAACAGCTGTTTTATGAAAAGGCTAATGAAAAAGTTTGGTGTATAGTTTGATCATAGTAATGATTGAGAGGAAGAATGTTGCTTTTCCTTTTAGGATGTTTTTTCCCACTATTCTTTGAGACTCAGGACCTTCAGCGCTGCCTCTTCAAAAGTGCACTATGTTACTCAGGTTACTTAAGAACACAGAACCACATCTGTGATATTCAACCCCCTGATGGTGGTTGGTGAGGTTTTTAAGGGTGGATGAGTCAGAACACTATCTGTATTCAGTACAGAAAGACTAAAAAAATCAATCTATTTAGAGAAAGAAGTTAGAAATAACAGAAGAAAAGGGTCCGCCTTTGGAATTTCCTACTTCACAGCAGCATTAGCTATGATGTATCACTGTTACGGAACAATACATTTGAACAGAAAAATACATTACATGCTTCAAAACCACTGAAAGCAGGAATAGATCTAAAATATCATAATCTAGCATGCCTTTACTCAAAGATACATGCTGCCTTTTAAGTACTTCTCTCCCTTTTCCCTTCCATACATGAACTTTTCCATTACATCAGTGCCTTTGAAAGTCCTTCTAGTTTTTGTTTTAGCTTTTAAATGTTAAGAAGCTTCATAATTTCAGAAAGGTCAGCTTTTGTCAAAACACTTTCATGAAAAGACACAAGACTATTTGAATAAAAATGAACACAAAGCATCTATGGCACAGTCTTCTCTTCTGTAAGAAACTACATGCTACATAGAACAGTAAAGAAAGGAAATTCAGACTGGCAACAGTAACATGCTTAATCCAATAGGAAATAATGACATGAGAAAGGACTGGTATCAGAGCAGTAGGACACAACAACAAAGTATACATTTATACAATTCCAGTTTACAAACAGCTAGAAATTGACAACTTTTATTTCTATTTTTGTGCAGACAGCCTCACCGGAGCAGAAGTACAGTTCCAAGGTCACATCTGATGGAGGCTGTGCACTCCCAACACAACCACATAATTGATGTGTTACATTCAATACCTGATCCTTCTGGTGCAGAAGTGACATTCAGCCATTTCACAGTGTAACATCATACAGCGTACCCTAACTCGATACCTGAGCTTCTTCCCTGGGCACATCCCATCTGTATTGCTGCTCACAGGTTTGTCATGTATGTAAGTACACTGAGAAGAGTCCACAGGCTGAGGATATACAACACATTTCCACACTAGCTCTTATAAGGTTACTGTGCTCTACACACCCATGATTGGTTGATGCTTATCATTGTTTGCTCAAACCTGATTATTTTAAACAAACAGCATGCCAAAAAAGCTGTTACACCACTTCATTTTACCTCCTTCGGTCATCCTCTTATTTCTATTACTATGTGCACCTGCTACTATGACACTGCATTTTAGATTTATCTGCTTGGGGTTTTTTTTTGGTTTTTTTTTTTGGTTTTTTTTTTTTGGTTTTTTTTTTTTTTTTTTTTTTTTTTTTTTTTTTTTTTTTTTTTTTTTTTTTTGGTGGTGGTGGTATTCTTTCTGTTTAAGAGCTACACATGGACCCAGAGTCACCTTCTAAGGTCATCTGTCTAAAAAACGTTTGAAGTAACTGTAATGTTAAAGTATGACAGCTGATGTTATTAACATCTCTGCTGACCAAGAGAGAGCCTGACTTTGGATAACCTAGAGGCTTTCCAATAATGCATAATCACCTCTTCATAAAAGACCATGGCTCCACTGAAACCTGAAAACCTTCTAGACTTCAACTAGAACTCTATGCTACCATTTCTAACACCAAGCTTTCCAATTTGTCCTATGTCATATTCTTGTCAAGGTCTTCTTGTAAACCTGTTTATAAGTACACTCCAAATCATCATGAGAGGAAAAATGTCCCTCTCCATGCATGCCCATTTGATTTCTACATCAGTGACCCAATTCTAGGCCTTTAAAACTTACATGATGTGGAATTTGTTTGCACTGGATAAGCTCATTACTTAGTTGATGTTTCTCACCTCTAACTCATTTAAATTCTTCCTCCACATCAGATTCCATTGCAGTACCTCCATGACCACTACTGACAGTCACCGATTTGATTTACAAATAGCTCTAATGGGATCAGATGTTGCCAAAGAGACAGTAAGGAAGCAGAGGGAAGCTGGGAATCGATAGGAGAAAAATAACAAAAGGGGAAAAGCAGAATAGAAATAGCACAGAATATTGGTTTAAATAATACCGACTAATGAGATGCATCTTTTACCACCTAATGGGTGCACACTGTTTAGTGATTAGTCATTGCTAGTCTTGTTTTCCTCAAACCATAAATTCTTCACAGTGAGAAGAATCCACAGTGAGAATCAATTCACCTTGAACTGCAAGATCCTTTACTTTGTATACTGCTATATCCATGTTTCTTACTGTTGTAATAAAATCTCCCTCTTTGTTAAAGACCTACCAACATCTTAAATACTAGCTCTGCTTGTTTATAATTTTCCTCATAATTACAGATTCAATCATAAATATTCATGCAGTACCACACTGTAAAGGCACATTCCACTTTCTAGATCACAGATGAAGGCAGTTCTCTAAACCATTTGTTGTGTGACCCCTACACAGAGGCATAAAGAAGTTGGTGTGTGTGCATTCACCAAAAAACAGAATCCTGAAATGGTTCAATAAGCTTTTCCAATGGGGAGAACACATAGTAGCAATTCAATTATATACTGCTGTTTCCAAATACAATATCTCACTTGAGGGATAGTTGCTGATCATGCTTGTTCAAATGCCTTTGCAGGATATATACAGAAACAACACTGGAATTTGGCTCCTAGTTACAGAGTGCTGGTTACTAATTTAACTATAAAGATACCAGACCTCGAATTCTTGATTTCATGCCCACTCAACTGTCCAAACAAATGGCTCATCTCAGTGGGATTTAAATCCACATAATTATTAAAGAAAGCTTAAGACCAAAATATCATCTTATTTTCTATAGATGCAAAGTGAATCAGAATATTTAAATCAGTTTTCAGAATAATTTAATGCATTTCATTATAAGAGAATTCAGAAATTGTATTAATGCATAAGAATACAGTTGGTAGCTTGGAAAATGCTACTTTAAATAGAAACGTTATCTGTCCTGAGGGATTGAGGTGTTACTGACCTAGGTTTAACTACAGCAAATATGATGTGATTAATAACTATTCGGAACAATTCATTTTGCACTGAAAATCTACAGCGTTAACACATAGTCCCTATCAGAAGACCTCTCCCATTCCTACTAGTTCCTTATATACATCTAAGTGTTTTTATTGTATCTACCTTCAGGAGATTATCTCAGAATCCCTGGGATTGTTCAATAAAAGTTTAACCGTCTTGCGCTATTAATGTGCTGGTGCTCCATGTGGAGTGCTCGTTTCCTTCCTTTTATTGAACGCCAAACGGAGGGACACAATGGGTGTGTTGTGCTCTGTCTAGCACGGAACGTGCGATATCTTTAAAAAGGAGGTGTGAGCTGGCTTTAATACACTACTCTTAACAGCACAAGTACCACAAAATAATCAACCACAGCACTGGAGCATGCAGGCCATTGAAAGCTAGAGAAAAAGCTGCTTTTTATTATGACCTACATACTGCACAGCAGCAGTTGGACAATTTAAATCTAACACTGAGGCTGAACACAATGCATGGAATCCACTAGTGATGAACTCCGTGATGTAAGGCAAACATGCTCGCGAGTTCTGTAATATTTTATTTCACCCACGCTATCCTGATAATAAAAAACAGAATGATAATCCATACAAACAAAAAAGATCCTTTCCTTTTAGTAGAGTTATCTACTAGAAAATTAATCATCTATTAGAAGCATCCTTCTGAATCAGCAACCATATGGAACACCAGTCACACCGAAACGTTTAAGGACAACGCAGTCAGATCAATGAATTCAGCAGCCACTCTAAACCAGCCACCGAGCAAAGCCAACCTTCCAAGGCACAGACACGGAGAGAAGCTTGTTTCCCGCACGAAGCTGTGCCCAGCTGTGCCCCAGACCCGCACCAGCCCGTGCCCAGGTACCTCTCCCGCAGCAGCCGAGGCGCACAGCGGCTCCCTTTTGTGGCCGAGTCCAGCGGCAGCCGCTGGCCCGGCCGGCGGGGCAGCCCGGGAGCCGGGCCGGGCCGGGCCGGGCCGAGCCGCACACCTGCTCCTGGCAGCGCCGCGCCCGGCGCCAGCCGCGCTGCGAGCGCCAGCGGCGACTCCCTCGTCCTGGAGCCGGCTCCGCTGCGAGCGGCTAGCGAGCTGCCGAGACAGCACTGCGGAGGAGCCCTGCCTTCACACGGCAAACCCCCGCTCCGCTCCTGACAGCAGATATGCAGCACTATCGCCCCGCATTCCACCTCCGCGACAGCGGCGGCAGCCGCCAGCCTGTCAAAATGGCAGCTCGCGAGCCGCTCTGCCGCCGGGATTACTCACCCGCACGCCCGTTTCTTCCGCGTCCCCCGACGGGATTTTTGTTTATTCCCCGGTATAGCACAGCATAATATGTCACATTGTTTTCCATAAGCAAAATGGCTGGTCCCCTCGGCACCGCCGCAGAGCGCTCATTGGGCTCCCCCGGCTTGCCGGAGCCATGGCAACAGCCAACAGCGGCCCGGCCCGCCCCGGCCGCTCCGGCACCGCGCCCGCGGAGCGCCGCGGCCCCGCGGCCCCGCGCCGGGCGGCGAGGCGGCAGCGCCCGGGGCCGCGAAGCGGGGTGAGCGCGGCCGGGGAAGCGCCTCCGGTGCGCCAGACTGAAGCTCCGAAATTGACAAGGCGCTGTATAGGTGCTCAGGGCGCTTACTGAGGAAATAGACATTAGGGATCCTCCTTAGGAAATAGACATTGGGGATCGTCCTTACTTAGGAAATAGACGTTAGGGATCGTCCTTACTTAGGAAATAGACGTTAGGGATCGTCCTTACTTAGGAAATAGACGTTAGGGATCGTCCTTACTTAGGAAATAGACATTAGGGATCCTCCTTAGTAGACATTGGGGATCGTCCTTACTTAGGAAATAGACATTAGGGATAACCGCTGTACAACAGTCAGGTGGTTTTTCAACAATAAAGCCTAACTCCATCACAATTCCTAGTGGTCATATACACATTGGTTGATCTTAAACCAATTGACACTTGTTAGATGACTTTCTAAGATTGTGCATTGCAAACAACATGTAAACCAATTTTATTCTATTTAGAATGACACTTTTTTTTTTTTTCCATTTCAGTTAGGAAGAAAAGGAGACATTTGTGAAGAATTTGAAACTGCTCATAAAAATTTCCGCCCTTCAAGACCTGTCACAAACTTGAATCTAAACTGCCTAAGGAGACAGGAATATAAGATAGAGAACACATGCAACACCCATCAGCCGGAAGTTCTCAAAAAGTAATTCAGAAGCATTAAATGTATCTAAGCAAGCATACAGCATATTTCATACCCAAGAGTTCTGAGTATTGGTCAGAACTTCCCAGTTGATAGCAGGGATTGGTACATACATGAATTAATGATATATATATGATTAATACATATATGAAAAAATTGCATATCCCTGTTCAATTGTACTTTTCAAGGGCTACAGCAGATTTTTCACCTCTGAATACAACTTGTAGACAAAGCTCTGCTGCTCCACCCCTCCAAGTGAATTTGCCGGTCTCAGGATCCCAATGGCAGTGGTGTCCCTGTGGAGTCCTGGGCAGAGAACTAAGGTCCACTTGAGTGGATTTTACACATTTCTTCCCTCAGCATCTTTCTCCTCTTTTCCTTGTCTAAGTTTCTCAGAAAGCGAGTACTGAGCTCTCTGAAAGTGACCTGGGAGGGGCTCACAAGGAAACAAGTAAGTAAATTATGTTTAGAATTCTGAGGTGTCAGAGCTGAAACATTCCAGTATATTTAAATAGGCGTTTCAACACAAATGCTAGTTTAGTTTTGTTTCATTTTCTCTTAGCCTTCTTAAAAAAGGTGGGTGGATGTCCACATCTCTCAAACTGCAACTGGGGCTAAGAGTCTGTTCCAGCAGCCGGTGAAAGTACTCACTGCTCCTGTGACTCAAACACATACTTTTGGTGCCATGACTACTGTTCAACACTACTTTTTGATCAAAAAGGGATGTCTGCTGATTTGGCAACCCAATTCTGAAGCTTTTGCCTGGAAAACATTAAACTACTGAAGTAATTATTTACATACCATTTATTAAAACAAAACCAGCCTGCATTACAAGAACACCATTTCATCATGATTTGTTCACTATTTTTTTTTTTTGTTAATAAGCAACATGAGACAGCCTGTACATCCAGTCTCTTTAATGCATTGATACAGTCACAGACTTAAAAAAAAATATATTTTAAATGTTCTTCAGTAAGGGAAGATACAAACAGGTTTTCTATCACTTTATTGCACTAAGTGCAGTTACTATCACAATACTTTCCACAGACAGGCTAAAATAGCTTTTGGAAACATAGAGGTCATGAGTTTTTAAACAATATGTTACAGTTTGTAAAGGTTTCAGGATGTTTGTCCATATATCTGTATCTAAACACACACAGGTACCTGAAAGTACAGTGGAAGTATATCCATTAAATTGTTTCTGATATTAATTTTTTTTTTTTTAATAAAATCCCATTTCAAGATTTCAAGTTCATAATTCAATATTTTGGGATCTGGAACTCTGTCTGTAATGCAGGCACACTTCTATCCAGAAAAGGCTGATGGAGCTTTTTTCTGCAATATCTCATAGGACTTAACAATATACACATACATGCAACCTATCCTTCTCTGCAGTTTCATAAGTGATTAGGCAGAAACTAGAACAGGTTTAACCCAAGTGCAGATTATGGCTCCAATTCAGCAATTAAAGCACAAATTGTGAGAAGCTAACCTGAGTTCCACAGAAGTCCTAGGAACAGTTTCTGATGCATGCTTTGCATAAAATTTCTTCTGGCAAAAACCACTAAAATCATTAACGTCAAAGGATGTGAACTGGACCCACAGTGAAGCTGTGAGACTGAATAACCTCTGGTAGTCCCCCAGGGCTCAGTAGCTGCACTGGTATGTCTGTGCTCCCAGGAAAGCTCCAGAACCAGGCAGCTGAAATCATGGCTGCTAGCATCCTCCCCTTACATAAAAATGTAAGTACGAGGCATAGAGTCATACTGACCCTACAATGAGTATTTAAGTGCTTAAAGATAACCACTTGCATGCTGTATTAGAACAGAGCTGAAAATAGAACACATCATTTAGTATCTTTGCTCAAATCCTACTCCCACATTAATCCAAGTGAGCTTCCTGATCTCACTTGTAGTACCTGGAGAACAGTTGCTCGTATCAGAGCAGAGCTGAAAGAAAACTAGTATTCACCAATTCTTCATCAGAACATTGCTATCAGTCTTCAGTTTTGGGACAGAAATAACATTATTCTCAGTCTTGTCTATAGATACTTGTATCAGCATATCATTCACCACTGTAGTTTAGCCTGTCCTGCTATTTTCCTTTACAAACTTGTTTCCAGCTGTCTCAAACCAGCTCCATATAATATAAAATATATACCTCCATTAAGGTAATATTTAATTCTTAAATCAACTCAAGAACTGTGATTTGCATACAATCATTAAAATTCATTGGTTTATGAATAATTAATTTGCATTCTAACACAGCATGAGCAATAGCAATATTAAAGACATTGTCACTCTTGGACAGGAAAAGTCAAAATAGCAGATCCTAAGTTAAGAAGCAATTACTATATTTAAATCAGCATTTCATTTATTGTATGGCATTGAAATTATTCCTATGTATATTAACTATCCAAGTAGGAAAACATCTAGTGTTCAGCCATCCTGAATATCATTAACAATTACTGAGCTTTCTGACCCTCATTCAATTTCTGTAATCACTTCATCATATATTGAAATGAAAAAAACTTATGAGGGCAAATTGGACTGTTATAATCATAAAGAAATAATCATCTATCAAAGGTCTCAATTTTTAAAAAGACTGATTTTTTTTAATATTGTTTGGTCAACTTGCTTGAATGCAAAGCAGTAGATAAACACAATGAATACCTGTATGTGGGTATGCTAAAGTACAGAGCAGTTAACATTGTTTTTCCAAGGTTCCAGGTGATGACAAGCCTATGAAAAAAACCACTGATACCCATTCCCAAGACATTACTATAATTAACTGCCTGAGACACAATCTGTACACGAGTAAACTGGAATTCAGATATAAAGAGTTAATTTTGTCCAGGGTAAAACTCGTTTGTAGCTCCTCCAGCTACTGAACACTGAGTGCAACTCCCGTTATTGGATTTGTATTTGCAGGTTCTCACCAATAACAACTCTGTTGAATTTTTATGTACTGTGGATTCAATGACATACTTGGCAAAGATGCTGACAGAGAATTCTATCTAGATTGAATAGAGCAATGAGTTGGTTTAAGTATTTAAGGTGTTTCGTGCATTTAAATAAAACAATCACAAGAACATTGCAGAAACATTTTCTTGAGTGTATTTGGGAAATTCTTATCACAGGAAATATATTATTTTATTCACGGTTGCCATTTAAGACACTTTCTTCACCACATGAGTACAGCCACACAAAAAGGAGAGGAGAATTAACTTTGATTTTCTTAAAAACAAATATTTAAAAATTTTAAAAGGAAACCCTGAAGCCTTTTTGTAATTAATTAGAGATGAAAGAGTCTTAACCTAATAAGACTAGATCCCTCATGTTTTATACCAGGGTTAAAAATACTAGTGAATTCCTGGAGCAATTTCTACACTTCCTCCTATCCTACATTGAGTAATTTACTTCCTAATGTAGTTTAGTAAAAAGGCAAAATTAAAGTTATACATTAGTGAAAGTATAACTGCCTCAAATGCAAAATATTATAAAAATTAAATTAAGCTGCTTTTTAGTTGTTTGGATTAATTTCTTCTGCATTTTAAATAAGATTAAAAAGAATCTAAAATAGACTCATTTTTCTTTTCTGTTTGCTTGGCTATGAAATTGGATTATTTAATGCATTATGTAATATATGTTGTAGTGCTGTGTGTGTTTAAATATATATATATACACACACACACTCTATAACACATATATAACTTTGTTTTCACTTATCCCAAGAAAACACCACAATTTTTATGGTATTGAGCAGATTTTAAATCAGGAGAACTATAGTATGGATAAATCTTCAATTTTCAGATCTTTAAGATGGTACTTGAGACAAGAAATGTGAACTTGAGCTCAAAAAGATGTAATATGCAAGGTGCTCCCAAAAATGAATGCTTAAACGTGCAGTTTTAAGAGAAAATAGCAAGCCTTCAAAGCAAAACTAACACACAGAAAGGAAGTGTCTTATTCTCAGAATTTTGGAAAACAAAAAATGAGAAACTGCTACTGAAATGCACTGTGCTTTCAGAGAATGCCAAGGATATTGTCAAGACAATTAATAGTTTATCTGGTCAATTTGTACTTGAAACTTTTCCAGTTCTGATTTTGTCATGTATTAACAGTTCCATTAAATAAGTACATTAATTCATAGCCCTAAGCAAGAGTTCAGATTAAGTCTTGAAGAACACCCAAGGCTACCTAGTTTCCAGAACCCAAAAAAGCAAGTTTTGCCTCTGTTATGATCTGAA